TTTTTTTTTTTTTACTACAGGGACTGCAATGTTGTGTTTCTACAGCAAAACACACAACTGAAATCCTCTGCATAACGCTCCATCGCCTGCACTATTGTTGTAGACTAAACTATCTGCAGTTCATGTGTCTTGCAGTGACAAAAACATCCAGACAGACGTACCACTTGTTGCTGTTGCAAACGTATCGTAGCAGGAGAGGAGGTGAGCCGTTTCTCCCACTGGTTGGGCTGAGGAGGAGAGGGAGGTGGAGCTTCCATAAAGGAGCGTTTTAGCTGGCTAATGCTAGCTTGGTGTTTCAGAACCTCTTCTTGGGTCTTATCATGGTCCTAATGGGGGGAGGGGGAAGGAAAGGATAGGTATAAGGGGAAGGGGAGGTAGGAGGCAGGCAGAGAGTGAATGACATGAATGTGAGTGATGAAAGATCAGAAAGATGGGAAACGTGATGTAAGAGATGTGAGAAGTAAAGAGGAAAAGAGGAAGTAAAAGCCAGAGTAGAAGGAGAGTTTAAAAAAAAGGAGAGCAAGATCAAGAGACAGAAAAATGATGGGAAAAGGAAGGAAGGAAGGAAAAGAAGGAGGGGGATAGTGAAGGAGAAATGGGGACGGATAAAAGGAGAAAGGGACGGGGAGGGAAAAATTGTGGTCACAGGAACATTAGTCTGTCAATATGAAGGGAAACAAGATGGACGCCGTGCTTCACTGCAGCATTGTTTAAAAAGCCTTGAAATCATATACATGACTTATCACTAGTGATGCACCCACATATCAGCCGATATCGGTGATTTTGATCATCTGACTGTATCAGACTATCAGCAAATTCTGTCACATCAAATCTGCGACACGTTGAAATATAGTGTAAAAAAAAGACCTATAAGACATTTAAACAGCTAAGTTGTCTTTTGATAATCACTGAATAACTAACAACCAAACTGATTTACTGGAGTTGTTTCACAATTGGTGCATGACGGCTGATTACTTATGAATGACAGCAAGCTGCAGTGAAACAAGGCCCACCATCTTGTAAGGACTTTTCCCTTAAAACAGACCAGGAATGGCATCTGCAGAGCATGGAGCTGGTAGTGCTAGTCTGCCTCTCTCTTACCCTTTATTCCTATCTGACTGCTTACTTATTATTAGTTTATTTGTTTAGTTTAGTATTAGTTTTCACTTTTCCATTTGACTTTAATGTCATTACTAATAGTCGTTTTGTTACACATCAGGTATCTTTTCCACCAGGTCTGCCTCCATCTGTTCCTCATCTCATTCACACAAGCATGGAGACATTTCATGAAATTGAGATAAATTAGACAAATTTTCTTAATGTACTGAGAAGGCTGCAGGATTTAATCCAACACAGAGACACTGGCACAACATACTGAGGAGAAAAATACTTGTTCAGTCTGCTCTAACCACGTTTAACGTTTCAGCTAACACTGATTAGTGTGTAGACTACTCTAGTGCAACGGATCACTATCAGCCCCATGCTTCACACACAGGTTTTGGTGTTTTAGTATGTTATCACACCACAGATCACTTGACTTTTTGGCAGCCAATCACCAGAAAACAGGAAGAAAGCTCCTCGTGTGTTAGGGAGGCTGGATTAGTCAGGTTAGACACAGCTGCCTGGCAATAATCAAACTTCTGACCAATCGAGAATCCAGAATACAACAAGATAAAATTTAAAAAAAAAAAAAACTGCAATCAACATGCACAGAGCATGCATTTAAGTCACCATCAGTCCCATTCACAGAGCAGCCATTGTGAACACTCAGTCAGGGAAATTTTCTGCAAGGGCCCATTTCTGCTGTACTGTTGTGCAGATACAAAACTGAGGTTTCTGACACAACTTCAACTAATTCCAAGGAGCAAGGAGAAGAATAAAGGTCTAAAGAGGCTGATGTTGCTGTTGTGCACATACGCAAATCTTTTCAGTGTTTAGTTGGGGATTATATCTGTCAGGAACACCCTTAATCTCATCTCTATCCCTCAGACAACATTGGCTACAAACATAACCATCACATAATACTTGGTTAGATTAATTCAAACTGTTGAGGACTACTGAGAATCAAATAACGGCTAAATGTTGTAAACAATCTCAGTAGTGCATTTAAAGCTCATTTTCTCATTGTGTTGTCCCAGTGACCAGACAAAAAATTAAATATTTGGCCATTACAACACTAACATTACATTACAACAGCTAAGTGAGTGAAATAAAACAAAAAAAAATATTATGTAATACAAATGTTAAAAATATGTATTTATTTAAAGTCTCCAAGTTTCCAACTCAAACATCATAAGGACCAAATTCTTGTATTAGACTGAGTTAACTACCAACACAAAGTGTTGTTTCTAATGCAATATAATTTTTAACATTCCGACTAATATTACAGAAATTTAAAAGACCAAATCTGAAACGAACAACGAGAAAATAAAAGGACAAAAACTGCACAAAACTACAACTATTGTATGAAATGTGTGATCAGTCTTGCGGTTTCTTGTAGCTTGTTTTAGCATCCACTGCTGACAGATAAAGAAAGCAAGCTCGTTTTTTGTAAAACAGAGACCCCACAAACTCAAGAGCTGTGGAAACTACATTATCGAGCTGAAAGACGCCAAATATCTGAGTTGAATTGGGACAAATTAGGTGATGACTTGTGAGTTTTACACATGTAGAAATGTTGATTGGATTCTTGTTTAGGTGACATTTGTGTTTTATCACAAAAACAGTGAAATTTCCAAGTTGAGCTGTTCAAAGGAGCTGCCATGTGAATGAGGACAACTAGCACTGAAATGTTTTCAACTTTCCAAGATCATAACTGTTGATGTTACAGAGTACAGAGTTGATTAACAAACATACACACACACAAACACATGCGGGCATGCACGCAGAGCCTGAGAGTGCGAGAGGGCAGCAGTCTTGTACAGTATAGTTGTAGATCTGATGGCGTCAGAATACACAGAAACATGTAGGTCTCATTTTCAGCCATCGGACAATACCAGTACCAACCTCCAACATTAAATTACTGTGCCTCACATAAATATTGTCCCCATGCACTCTCAACGAACTCTGGAAGGCAGACATACAGCACACAATGAAAAAAATAAGAATTAATTCAAAAGAAATTAATAAATGTATGGTGAAAATTCAGTGCACAAATAAAATGAAACAAAACTAACAGAATGAAAACAACAACAAAAAAATTACATATAACCAAAAAAAAAAAAAAGTGAGATGTTGACACCAAAAATGTCCCAAATGTCTCAGGTGAACATTGGATGATGGGTACAAGCACAAATGTTTTCATTTTGGTATTCCTCATGAATGTGACCGTTGTTGATACTCGTACCCATGGTAAACATGCAAAATCCAAAGCATTCAAAACACCAACAGATGTTCACACAAACCATCAAAACCACACTGCGCTTTCAGGAAAACTCAAAAAATAAC